ACATATTTAATTAGATGCATACGCGTGTAGCTTAATGAGCTGTTTTTGAGTATTTTTTAAATCTGAATTGTCACTTCACTTCACATTGTTATGTTTTACAAGTTCTTCGTCCTTCGGTTTGTGAAATTTTCTTAACAATTTTTTTTTGCCTCTTTAATTAGTCTTATCCTAAAATTGGGGTTTGCAACACAGCTTTACTAACTTTCATTAGAATTTCATTGTCCGTAACTCTCACAGCGCAAGTTCAAACAATCCAAATAATAACCTCACACATCTCACACACGGCCGTCTGATCCCAAACTAGGCAGTGCCTGTACTATGGTAACCAGACTGCTGATAAACATATTTATATATGTCTAAATACATACATATTATAGATAAATTATACCCAGACACAGAACATACGATCGTGCTCATCCCACAAATATTTGTCCTGGGTGGGAATCGAAACCACGACCTATTAAGATCCTACATAAAATTTATTTTGGCAAAACAATATCATCTATGTATAATGTCAGTAATCTATCTATCTATCTATATACCAAACAAAATAAACAGCTGTATTCAAAATTATTCATTATCACATAAGTGCACAAGCTCAAATTTTAGAGGCAAATAAAAAGAAATTAAGTTTCTTTATCTAATTTCTATATTGGTATTATTATTATGCGTACTTTTCTTACTCATTTTTAGAGTAGATACATACAAAAGTTACTTGTAAAACTGACCAAAGATTTTCATCTATGGAATGCATTCCATAACAACCGGCAGAAGACTTGCCTATGACTAAACATCTCTTGAGCAAACTACCAAGATGAAACCAATATGATTTCACCATAACTGCTCCCAATCATCCTATACTTTTCCAAACGGCTGACCACACAAAACAGATCCTCCTACGTGATGGGAATGCAACCTGACAAACGTTTCACCTAAGTAATGGTTATCGCGTATAATTTTGATCGGCTAACCGCTGCCCTACCAGTAAAGGGAGGTGGGCACTAATCGCGAGAAATAGAGTTGCGCTAACTTGCAAGAAAATAGTGAGTATTTTACAAACTAAATAAATAGGAGTTATACCTTGTGGTCTAATAATGTTAGGCTTTCTTATTACGCTGTATTTTTGTGGAGTTTGCTCACAGTTTGGCAATTCATGCAAAGACTCTTTAATATTTAATAGCGCTTTCATGTAATTTTTCAATATTTAAAACTTTGTTAAAAGTATATAAATTCTTCTAAATTTAAAAAAAAAATACTACAGGTTCAACTGCTGTCAACAAAACGGATTCCTACGTTTTCTAAACTTGCCTTGCATAAAATAGAAATAACATATAAAAAAGACTTGCAACGAATATTCGGTTACTATTCGGTATTCGGCCTATTCGGCTGCTCTTATTATAGTCGGCCGAATACCGAATATCTACATATTATTCGGCCGAATACCGAATACTTAAATAATATATTTTGTCATTGAGAAATAATTGGTAAAATGAAAAATTAAAATCGATTGATTACGTATATATTCATATTTTCATTTCTGTTATAATCATTTAAGTAGTCATTGGTGCATAACACAGGTACATAATCATCTTATTTTAAAAAAAATTAGGATTCTATGTATTTGAATTATTGTGGTAATCAAAATTTATAATCATTTATTAAGTAGTCATTGGTACATAAAACAGGTACATAATTTAATTCAGGTTTGTACAAGTTTTTGGCGCTAAAATCCAGCCGAATACTTTTGCCTAATATTCGGCTATTCGGTCAGGGGCCTCGCCGAATATTCGGTATTCGGTATACTGCCGAATATACTATTCGTTGCAAGTCTAATATAAAACTATAATATGTTTATATCGAACTTTCAAAATTAGCTTACTTAGTGTATTTAGTAGTTGAAAACTGTTGAATGTACAGATTAGACAAAGTAATAAAGGAATGAATATTTTAAATCATTTAATAGGACGAGAACAATATCCTCGCTATTTAGAAACATTGGCAGTCGAAAGGTTTACAAGAAATTAGTATTGTGTATACAAGATTTTAATACTATGGTACGACAGCTATGACAACTCATTTGTGTCAGGCAGCTGTCATTGGTATCGACTTCAATACAGCCTGTATATAAACTACAAACTGCTATAACTTTTGAACACAGAGTTCTAAAAATGTGGTAATTAAAACTGTAATTGTTGATGATTTTACCATCCAAATAAATACAACAATAATCCCCACCATGAAATAAGCAAGGCGGTTCAAAAGTCACTCACATGCCTGTCTTTGTCTTTATTAAATCAATTTAAAAAAATCGACTATTGGTTATCGATATCGATAAAATCTCCAACGAAGTTACAGACATCTCCATTCCTACTTAGATTTACAGATTTATGTCGGCCCGGAGCTACAGTCGTTGGTCATTATCGCGATATTCATGCCATCACGTCTGCCATAATATCGGCCCATGGCAAATTGATGGGGCCGAGACTGATTTGCTTTGCCTGTAAAGTGGACTGTACGTCCAAACTAGTGGTTAGCGAAAACGTTGTTTTTTTTTAAATCCTATCTTTGGTCTACACTACCGTCATTTAAGGAATTCTATCGGTATTTTGATATTTAGTACATCCTGGTCTAAACTAGTCCTTGCAGTTTAAGCTGCGTTTATGGTCACAGATCTGGTTCTAAGGGTCGTGGCGTGATGTTTTATAGCTTATACTAGTCGGGTATCATGGTAAAAGTAGACTATGTCCTTCCTTAAGAATCAAAGTATCTTAATGCTAAATTTCATTAAAATCGGTTTAGCGGTTTAGCCGTGAAAGCGTAACAGTCAGACAGGGTTACTTTCTCATTTATAATATTAGTAGGGATTAATTGTTCATAAATATGACATTTAATACAAAAAGAATAATTTAAATCTGAAAGTTCAAGAGATAAGTGTGTTTAAACAAATAAACAAAGATATTCTTCATACTTCTATATTATCCACTAGCAAATTTTGAAACATTTAGTATGAGTAAGCTGTCTAGGATGTAGGCAAACCTAACACAGAGGCAAAACAACGACTGCCTATTGGTTTTTGAGTCAATCCTACAACTGCACAATACACTCTTGACATGATTAATATTAATAACATTACAATACATGTCTTCCCGTGTTTAATGGACACGGATTCAGAATACGGAGTGTTACCACCCCTATTCATCCCGTGGGAATCGTAAGAGATGACTAAAGGAGCAAACTACCATTATCATGGTGAATACATATATCACACACGGCCCTCCACCAGACTGCTGATAAACATGCTTCAATATGTCTCATCATACCATTATTTGTTCTAGATGGGCATCGAGCTCAAGACCTCCGGCCTAGCAGTCAGTGTCACGAACCGCTAGAAGAAAGGTATATCACCAACACTGTGTACAGTTAAAATAACAAAATTACACAGTTGAACACTTTTGTTTTCAAGAGTTTTCGATGGAATTACATGGAATTATGTGAAGCTTAACTGACAGGTAACTAACTGTTACACCCGGCGTTTACTTGATTGAGTGACTCGAAAGTGCTCCAAATTACAGGCTTCAGACTACCGATATGTTATTATACCTCAGTCATATTTTACTTAACGAGATACACTTAAAACCAGATATGATATTCTAAAGACTTATTTCGAGCCAGACAACACTTCAATTTAAAGAAGTATTTAAAAGTATCGGTCAAGTGCCCGTCGACTTCGGTGTAGGGTTTAATACTTTATTACTACTGGTTTTAAGTAAATAACACAAAAAGTAGACAAAGTGATAAAAAATACTGTTGGAACCTAGCAGTGCCTGTTTCCGGATAAATTGATTGGCTTGTTTATCTAGTGGTTATTGACCCTAACTGCTAAGTCAGGGGTCGTGTTTTCTGGCCTGGGGGTGGCGGCGAGTGCGTTGCGCGTTGCTCACTTCCAGGGACTAGAGGGAACATGGGGTTCCCACACGGGGAGGGGGGGGGTCATCTACTCGTCTGTAGATGGCCCGAGGTATGTCGGGGCACCAGGGACTTCCTTTCTAGGGTATACCTGTACCGGTATCCGAGGGGATTTCCGCACGGAAAAAAAGGGGTCGTGTTTCCTATACAAATTGAGATTCTTGCTTACAATTTAAAAATCTGCTGTCCCGCGTAGTGCAGTGTGATAATCGCCTTATTGTGTGATGAGATTAATCATTTATTCTATATCTTTGTGTAATTTGTATGTATTTAGAAATATGTATATGTTGATCTTCGGTTTGGGTATCATAGTACAGGCTCTGCTTAGTTAGGCGTCAGACTGCCGTGTGTGATTTATGTAAAGAAGAAGATGACTAGCATTGTGCATAAAGGTTCCAGGTTAGCGTTGTGTAGTTTATGGAGCACCGTATGGGACTGTTCAAAACTATCGTTAGATGCGATTTGAAAGCTTAAGTCGATGCCTTCTGGTGACTCTTGAGTTGAAGATGTCCATTGGTCACTTACCATCAGGTGACCCGTTTGCTCATTTGCCAACCCATGACATAAAAAACATATGGAACAAGGTCGACAGACCAAATAGTTCTGAAGTTTTCACACTTCACTGTCACTTGTCGACGACCGGATGGCGTAGTGGCTTGTGTAACGAACTGCTATTCCAAAGGTCGCTGATTCTATTCCCGCTCAAGTCAAACATTTGTGTGCATGAACATGTAATGTTTGATTTGGTCTGGGTGTTTCTATGTATAATATGTATGTATTTACAAAAAAAAGTATATAGGTATTATATCAGTTGTCTAGTACCCATAGTACAAGCTCTGCTTAGTTTGGGACTTTGAATGTGGTAGAATATTATTATTATTATTATTCTTAAAATATGTACAATCAGTACGTTATTTTCTGCATACTAATTCAGCTTTCATATAGTCGCTCTTATCTTGTTAAACATCAAGATTTACTGATATTCTAATGAACTTGTGATTATTTCATGTTTCTAGTGCCAGAAAAATTCAACGATGAAGGAAAATGGACCTACGAGTGACGACATGAAGATTGACAAAGAAGCAGAAGGTGATTTTGAAGATGACTATGTAGTTAAATCAATAGGGTCTATAGGAAGATGGCAAATCATTGTTTGTATCATAGTTGCATCCAGTAGACTTATAGCATCGTGGAATATGCTTGCTATATTATTCCTAACACCTACCACTGAATTCAAATGTATAAAATTCAAAGATAATTACAACGAGACCACAGATGTTCAGCTCTCAAAATGCTATGAGAACTGCGAAGAGTACGAGTATTACCAAGATGTGTTTGAATCAACGTTGATATCACAATTTGGATTGATATGCGACAGAGCATGGATGGCGAGTTTCACGCAAACGGCGATGATGCTGGGTTTAGTGTGTGGCATTTCTCTTTTTGGTTGGATTTCTGACAGGTACGTGGTAATTTAAGCTACTAAATCTTTATAAAATTTAACGCCTTTTTGAGCTCAAGAGTCGCAAATGTGGGGCGGAGTTGGTATTGCTATACTGGCGGCGTTACACACTTATCATCCGTTGACCCGTATGCTCGTTTAGCCCTACACCATAAAGAAACTCAATTCTCTCTTAATTTCAGGTTCGGCCGTAGAAACGCCTTGATTCTCTCCACCTTCACTGACGTGATTTTCATGATGACAGCGGCTTTTGCTCCAACCTACTGGACATTCACTGCTCTTAGATTCTTCGTTGGTGTTGCAAGTGGAGGTATAATGTCGATTACTGCTGTGTTTACCATAGAAATTGTTGGACCAGCACATAGAGAAATGGCTGGCGGATTAGCCTTGCTTCCGGATAGTATCTCTGAAATATTACTAGCTGGCTTTGCATACTTTGCTCCGACGTGGAACATTTACCTACTGGGATTTAGTGGAACATCCGTAGTGATTGCGACAATGTTATTGTTTCTACCAGAGACCCCAAGATGGTTGGTTACCACCGGCAAAGTTGACAGAGCCGTAGAACTTATGACCAAAGCTGCCAAGTTGTAAGTAATTTTATTTATGTAGAACTTGCAAGAATTTGTATTTCAAATGTCAATTATGTTCATAGAGTAGTTTTGGTAATTTATCAAAAATCTTTTTTAATTTTCTTATAAGTAAACAGCTCGATAATGAGTGATTTTACTTGATTTTAACTATTTCGAGTACCGACTTCGACCACACAATCCACTTGAAAATTGACTACTTATTAAATTATTACAGTTTCACATTTCCATCAAACTTGCCTAACAAAACAGATAAATCAATTGTTTTCTTTTTCAAGTATATTGTACTTCATTAGTCGGCTAACCCGAATTATTAAAAAATACTAAATTAAAAAAAAAAACATTTATGGTATAATTATGACCATCAGGCAGATTTAATCCCTACGGACTTGTAAAAGGTTGCAGGCAGGCTATCTTCAACCTACTATTATTCTATTATTATGAATTAGTTAACGTATAATAATGACTATGAAGAAATTTGTTACATTTATATTTTTTGTTCCAGTAACAAGAGAAGCGTTGATGGTATAAGAGATACTGTGAATAAAAGTGTCGAAGAACTTAACTTAAAAGATAACGAAGCAGAATCTCTAAATTATACAGACTTGTTTAGAACGAGGAAATTGACTCTGATCACCATATTTTCCTTTATGATATGGTTTGTGACCGGCGTATGCTATTTTGGTTTAAATCAATACACTACAGTTCTTGGAGCTAATATTTTTTTCGTCGTACCATTATTAGGATGTATTCAGGTCAGTTTACAGAATATAATGATTGAATGTTAAGATTTTTTGTTGTTGTTAAGTTTTTAATTTGTAAATCATATTTGTTTCAGATACCGTTGGCTCCACTAACATCCCTAATCACGAGGGTATTTGGAAGACGAGCCTCAGCTATTGGTACTTATATTATTGCCGGGGCAAGTATGATCTGCCTGATATTCATTCCTGCGGGTACATGGGTATCAACAATGCTTGGTTTTATAGGAGTCGCGGCGGCGTTTTTAAACTTTTGTGTGTTATACATTTTTGTTACTGAATTGTACCCAACACCAATGAGAAATATGGGTTTCTCAATCAGCGCTGCAGGCTCAAAGTTTGGAGCTACAGTTGCTCCTTTTGTAGCTACTTTAAAACCACAGTGGATAGCTTCAACTATATTTGCAATATTACCCATTATGGCTGCTGTTATTTGCTTTTTATTACCAGAGACTAAAGGTAAAAAATTAAGTGATACGGTAGAGAAGTAATCTAAGAAATGTGTTGGGTAATAATCATCATAGTATTAATAAGTACATGGGGCAGTGTTGTTATTAAGTTCTTCTTTGTATTGGTTGTATTTTGAAGTCTGATTTATGTTACAAGTACTTTATTTATTTGTATTTTAACTGAAGTTTTACTCATCTTGTATTTAAATACAGTAATAATAATCAAAATATTATGAAGTCATCATTTAACAGAATCATAAGTGACCACAAACTTTCTTCGTGAATAAAAACTTCTTATACATCTATAAGTGAAAAGTAAGGAGCAGCGCACACAAAAAGAAACCACTAAAGAAGAAAATTAAATAATAATGTATTATCGATACTGGAAATGTTAAGTACATTGAAAATACGACGTTCGTGGTCATAATAACATAATTGGTAGAGCCTAAATTGGTCTAAATTACACCTTGTTGTACGCCAGGGCTATTATGTCGGACATCAACTTTATTGAGAGCTTTGTTTCAATCTTGAGTCATCGTTAACTTTAATACCGAGATAAAGGATTTTTTAAATAACAGCCTTTGTGTTTCAAGTTGAAAATATAGATTTTATTGGTAATCGGGGTGCAATATTAAACCTTAATGTGAAAAGAATAGTCTTTAAAATGAAATGATTATATAATTTAGCAAATGTGAGCTGTAAACGTAACTAGTAATTTGTAAAAATACCTAATATTTATATCTATTAAATGTTGTAAAGTAATTTTTGGTTTTTTGTGTTTGTATTTGTAGATATAAAATTGAAAATGGTACTTAAATTATGAACAAATTAAATGTTTTAGGTAATACTAATTGAAAGAACATCCCATCTCATCAATAAATTGTATTCTTAATTCTTTCACTTTAACCTTTAGGTATGTTTTTTTATTTGAATAATGATTAAGATCAAATAAGGAAGCATACTCTTTCAAAAAAAAAAAATATTTTTCCAAATCACTTTTTTGAAGTAACAAACAAAAAATTCAAGCGAATTGACAACTACCTCTTTCTAAACGATATCGGTTTTATGTGATTTATGTGATTAAATCGTTCAACAATTTGTAAGCAAATGATCATTACCTTTTTAAACTGTATTTATTAGCTTAAGAGTCAGAAGCGTTCGTGTGACGAATCCAAATGTTACAATAATATTTAAAGAAGAGAATGAAAATCCGATCGTCGCGTTGTGTAAAGATGAACCCATGATTTAAAAACCATAATAAACTTGACAAAAACACCATCTATAGAGAAATGGTAAGTTTTTTTATCTAGCAAGTCAAATGTCAGAGTCATAACTCTTTATGTAGATAACGTAAATTTATTTTGATGGAAAAATAGATACAATGGAACTTTGCTTATCAGCGAGTAAAATAGATATTAAGAGGGTTTATGTTCCTTTGCAACTCGTAAAAGTAGTGAGGGTTATGGCAAGTTTTTTTGTACCAGCGGGGCAAACTGGTAAAGGGGCACCTTATGGTAAATGACTACCAAAGCCTGTGGACACCTGCAACGCAAAAAGTCACAAGTACGTTGCCGCATGTTCAAGTCCCCAGAATCAGGTGAAAAGGATTTGGGCTCCGGTAACCTAACTCATTCTGTGAAAAACACCACGGATTTTTTTTAAAGTCAACTCCTGCACTAGAAATGGAATATATCCTGTGTCGCAAGGGACCTTACAAACATACTTGAAATGGACACAAAGAACACTCAGAACCACTATTTGTGGATTACACAAAGTGTCGTCCAAACTCAAACTCTCTTTATTTAATAAAAAATATATGTTCGAAATCGTCTTTTATGTAGACAAAAGTAAAGTCTTAGATCAAAACACACAATAGCAGCAATCTCTGTTTTGTCAAATAGTAAACAAATAAATTTAATAAAAATTAAACTTATGCCTGTGCCGATCTACAACCGCCCGTTTCCAAGGGGTCCCATGTGGGGTTCGAACCCACAACACTCAGCGCAGTAGGAAGCGGCGAGGTGACCGCTTAAACCACTGTACCATCTGTGCACAGTCATTAGTACAGTGCATTATGAACCGAAGCATGGCTCTCTGACTTGTTTCTTTGCGCGTAATTTATCATGATAGGTCGTGTAATTGTCAGTAGTCTGGTTACCAAAGCACTAGCTCTGCCTAGTTTCGGATCAGACGGACGTATGTGAGGTGCGACAAATTATGTTATTAATACCATCTCTTCTTTAACAAGAGTTCTTTTCCAAGGAATTTAAATGTAGTCATCATTTTAAACCAAAATGAATTCTTGTAGCTTAAGAAATGTATTTTAGTGTATGGATACCCATAATGTGGGGATAGGATGGCAGAGTGATCGCACTGAAAGTGTGACCGGGCCGCAAGGCTGATGAGCAGGGAGAAGCCACTGGCTTTCCCTGAGATGGTGCTTAGGTGCGGCATCGATCTGGGGGGACCTAAAATCACATGGCCCGCGTTCTCCCCAGAGCAGGGCGCCTAAGGCTGGCCGTAGGAGTGGTTTTTAGTGGCAACACCACGTACTCCTCAAAACTCAAACTCAAACTCAAACTTTCTTTATTTCATAAAATTTCCAAAATTGTTTGAAATCGTCTTCCATGTAGACTCTAAAGTCATAGATCAACACACACAAAAGCAACAATCTCTGTTTTGTCAAATAGATCTCTGGCTCCTATATCCCCAAGGAGCCGGAGATCCGAAGGGATTTACCACTCCGTCAACAAAAAAAAAAAAGAAATCCCATAATGTAACTTTACCAGAAGACCAAATAAGAGTTCAATGGAAATAATTTAACTTTTATCTATATATATAAACACTACAGTTTTTCAGTCACTTAAAAATCAAAGTCGCCGACGTCGGTAAGTTAAAGGTCCACAATCATTTCATTGATCCAATCGTCGGCTCTTTGATGAGGAGACACTTTATTGCGACTAAGTGTCGTGAGGGTGTCGGTGTCTCTGTTATATTAATGCGATAAATTGCTTCGAATGGTATATCTTTTATTTTTTCACTTCTCCGTGAACATTCGCATATGAGTTTGTTGAATACATAATTTTTATTTTACATGTTACGTACAAGGCGGTAAAAAATAAAAGTTATAAGACATTTTGAAACTGTATACAAACTAGTGATTTGCTAATTTTGGTGCAAAAGCAATAAATGTAATATACAGTATCGTTCAAATATAATAGTACGTTTTACATCGCTTGTTTAAAAAAAAGTCTATTGTAAGATTTCGAAATCAATTTATAAAGCAAACGGAAAATGTTAGCAGAAAACGAACGCCGAATAAAAATCTTAAAACGATGCAACAATAATAGAAAAACACAAATAATATTTGATAATTGTTACTGAGATAGTAGGTTATCAAGTTGAATATGAACTTATTGGTCTAACCGAACTATTTCTCGTTTTTTCTTACGGTAATGAGGTGGCAAACGAGCAGGTGATTACCTGCGCCCATGAACACCTGTAACTCAAGAATGTGGAGAGAAGGAAGTTCACTTGGTAAAAAGCAACGAAGGAACTGCTTAACACCGGTTTTCTGTGAGGCCGTGGTATCACTCCGGTCGAGCCTGGCCTATATGTGCAGAAGCATGACTCTCCCACGATAAAGATTGGGATCAAGACAATTGTGATTTGTCTAACCACACTCTGTCATATTTCCAATGATCTTATAGAAAGTATGTTTATATGGCATAGAAGACGAACGAACACCTGATGCATCTACAACTTAAGAGTCACAAGTGTTTTTTCGCCTTTTGAGTTTCCTCCCGGAGAGGGAGGTTTAGGGGAAACACGAAAAAAAAAAAAAAAAAAAAGGGAAACACATTTGTGAATTGTGTGTGTGTTACATAGGTCAGACTGTAACATTGCTTTATTAACCAGAGAGATCACTAGGCGGGCGAAATTCGACGGTTAAATGTTTTGATTTTTTTTTAACCAGTATAACTTGAATTGCCATTGAACAGACTTTGGTACCATGTAATGTCAAAAAGTATTACATCACACATCAACAGGCTTTAATAGTCCACTGGATGAATATAGGCCTGCCTCTCCTTAGAAAGGAGGTTTTGACCTGGCCAGACGGGTTGGTATAGCGTTTGTTTCAAGTTTTCCTTCTCTTTGCAGTGATGTTGTTCTGCGTAGCTTGCTCAATTTGGCGGCTCTTACGAAACCCATAGATTAAACTCTGATACTCCGTATTCTTAATCCGTCACCACACGTATACTTAACGCTTTTATAGCGTTTTATTGATTGCAAATATTATCTTTCTGCATTTTTCTACCTATGAACATGAATTCCCAATATGATATAATAATAATAATAATAATGCCTGCGCTTGCTCACTTTTTGTTAAAAGGAGAAACAAAGAATTACAAACGCCAATGTATATCGTTCTAACTTTCAATATCGCGATCTAAGTACACACTTCTATTAGAATGATTGATAGGATCAGACCACCGGTAGTCATTGCCTTTATCGGCCATCTCTGTCTGATAGGACTGTATCGGTCCCATTGTTTCACCGTGATTTATGGAGCGATGCTATGGTATCGTGTCGTGTACGTAATATTTGATTTGCACTTACTATGCTTAGTTCGATGTGTGGTCTGATAAATCGATATCGTTGACGTGCGACTAGAAAGTTTTGGAAATATTTTGAATGAATAAATAGAAAGTTAAGGATTTACTTGAATTCATAAAAGTAAAATTTGCTGCAGTTTTGACCATTTGGTCGTCTGTCTTACCCTTTGAAGAAAAAAGGCGACTTTAAGAGATTTTAAGTGTGTAACTGTCTATAAACATAAAAGTACTTAACACCCAAAATTGTATAATAAATCTTATTACTGTAGCTTGTAAGTCGTATTTTGCTTTTCATTATGTGTTAATTTAATTAACAGTAGATAAATAATAACGAGAGGCCATTTTTTTTTTTTTTTTTTTTTCCCGTGCGGAAATCCCCTCGGATACCACCTGTCGGTGGCATGTCGGACTCGAACCGACTAAAAC